AAATCACATGCATGTTTTTCACGTCTATATTACTAAATTTGTTAAAATTTAATGATTATAATATTGCACGAATAATTCTATTCTCTTAATTTAAAATTCTAAAGACCAATAAAAATAATCAAATTCCTAACGCCATTTTGCCTAATTTGTTATAATAAAATTCTTTTAGGTATAATTGTTTTTTTAAAAAAAAATGATTTGAAACTCGAAATTCCTGATGAGAGAACACAAAAGTTCTTATCTTAACTAGTATATTAATCATCTAGATATTATAAAGTAAAAAACAGAAAAATACTAACTTACAAAAAAGACGCAAAGAGAGAACAAAAAATCAACAAAGAAAACAACAAAAAATTTTTATAAATTATCAAATTACGTAAACAAATCATATAATATAATAATAAATAAATCTAATTTAAATTTCAAGAACAATAATATGAATGAATTATTACTAATTAAATAAAATAGTGTTTTATATTGAAATATAATCAAATAGATAATGAAGGCGTCAAATATAAAATTTTACAAACAAAGAAAACTTAAATATATCAAATAAAACGCCTTATGCACAATACATAAATGAAATATTCTTTGTGATAAACCAAAAAAGATAACCGAAGCCAAGCTGAAAGGAACTAAAATATCGAAAGAATTACTTTTATGATTTATTGATTATTCATGAACAACATCTAATTTTCTACATAAAAACCCTATGAAATAAAAAATTGTCAAAAAATACACTTGAAATAGAACACAAACAATAAAAACCTTCTTATTAAATAACTTGAATTAATCTATTCAAATTAAATAATAATCATACAATATGACAAGAATCTGGGAACAAAGACGTGCAGGTGATATTGTATATATCACTCATTAGGATTCTGAAGTCAGAAATAACACTCATGATCGATTACATAGTCCAAACAAAGATATTTTCTATTCTGATACACATGAAGAAGGTTGGCGCTACCATACTATATGGAATTTTTGGGGGTATTCAGATCCTTCAATAGACGTTTTCTTAGGTCGCTAGCCTAATGGTGATACATTCATATATCACTTAAAAAATGGACCAAATTCACGTCTTATTAGTACATATGTTCGACGAGAATGGTCATTTTATCATTTTGAAACTCATCATAAATTATATATTTCTGAAGTAAGTAATTATAAATTTGATGATGGGTTTATTAGTTTAAGTGAATTAATTGAAGAATCTATGAATTATGATTTCAAAGTAGAGTAATCATTAAATTTGTAAAAATTTTTATACTTTTCTTTTTTCAAATATAATAAAATTGAATTTCTTTATTCATATTTAATAAAAATACATATTTTAAAATAAAAAAACTTAAAAGCTTAGTGGTTGGGGTGGGTTCATTTGTTGTGACCAAGTTGACCACAAATACTACATTTATATCTTTTGTTAGAAGAATCGCGTTTGCGTTTATGATTCCCAACACTAACGTGAGTACGTTTGTTATAACCATACATATTCACATCAGCAACAAAACAAACGGAACATCTTGTTTTTTTTCGTTTGAATTCTTTACCAAAACCCAAACTAACAAAAACAAAAAACAAAAAAATGATAAAAATCTTGATCTTATTCATATCCTAGAAATAATTATTAGTTAACTATT